AGTTTTTTTTCTGTCTGTTTCAGTTAGTTATGGGTCCTTAGATACGACTTAGATTCGTTCGACTAGGTTTCGATTGGGTTCGGGTTATCGGTTTGGGTGAGTAGGTCGCTCCCCTAGTAGGAGTACTTGGTGACCATCGCGCCCGACCTCTCGTTGCGGTAGGTCTCCCGGCGAACTGGCAAGGATTCGGAGGCGGCGCGATGGAGTCGCGGCAGCTGGGCGTCCAGACTGTCGCGGAAGGTGCGGCCGGCGGTATTGCCGCCCGCCTCCACGGTGTCGATGTGCTGGCGCACCATGCCCAGGATACGCGTCCGGTTCTTGTCCCGTGTGGAGACGTACGGCTCAATGGGCTCGTAGGCCAGCTTGTAGTCGGGCTTGATGGAGGCCCGATTGATCGGATCGAGGATCGACCGCTGGCGCCGCTCGAGATCGGGACGCCGCACTCCGAAGGCGGTCACCGGATCCGAGATGAGCGACGGCCGCGGCACGAACGGAACTTTCTCCCAGTCAATTGGTGTTCTCTTCGTTCTCTGCAATGCCCAAAAGTCCACAAGTTTGTTTTTAATTTCTGGGTCAGCCGGGTATTAAGCTGTGGCTCAGTGGTTAGGTGGTGCAGCCAACGGGGATCTCAACTGGGCGGTGCGTTGGGTCTAAGATATATGTACATACAGTGCGCGGGCGGGTCATTTATATACAGCTTCGTTGGGGCAGTGGTTGAGTTTGGTATCAGATCGCTGGACTGGGTGGGTCAAGCTGTATCCAACAACATCGAACATCCTTACATTATGACGCAAGATGCATAGCTACACATGTGTCTGAGCCCTAGGGTGGACCTCCATCTTTTGGTTTGCAGAAGACTTAAACTGATATTACGCATACGCAACGTTGCCAGCGGGGCTGGGCTGCAAAAAGCTTGCCTACTTAACTGTTTTCTATTGAAATTCAGCAATGAAAATTTAATTTCGTTTTTCCAAAAGGTCCACCCCAGTCTGAATACACATATGTACATATGCATATTGATACGACGTAGTGTGGTTGTGAGTAATGTGCAATGGGAGCATTAAGATGGAACACAAACAGCAAACGTATATATATTTACAGCAATTTAGCTAAGTTATTTATCATTTAAGCAAGTTATCCTGCACTCTATCCGAATACCTTAATCAAATCTCGATAAAATGTAGCTGCACAGAGATTGCCGCTTTCATTCATCAAATCATAAAATTATCACTATAAATTATAAACAGCGAGTGCCTGTCCAAATGTATATGCATGGTACACAAAAAGTGTCCGGACAAGATGGATCTCTTGGGGATTCGGCGTACATATATATCCTTGCTGTGGATTATCATCCCATTAGACTGTCGGAAAATGGGCATTTTGTTGTTCCTCTTAAGCATTTATCTTCTAATTTTCGAATATTTTGCGTTATTTTGTTGTAGTTTCTTGCCATGGCATCGGTTTATTTGAATATATTATGGAAATCGGAAAGATATTTTTAGGACCAGCAAAGAGCGAAATGCGCGCGCATATAGTATTACACATACAAAAAGCAGAAACCACGGCCCGTACAAAAGCAAATTATCGAGAGAGCTGGCTCCGTATGAGTTTCATCGAGAATTCGCATGTGTTTGGAATTCCACTCGCCCATATATATTCTAAACATTTTTGGGCACCAGACCACCAGACCAGCAGACCAGCAGACCAGACGGACCTCGGAATTTTGTAAATAATAATAAAATAGATAGAGAGGAAAATGTACGGCCTCCGCCGAATTCTGAGTTGAGTTCTTAAAATGTATTCGCGTTTTATATTTGGGAGATGAGTAAACACGTATATCCGAAAGAGATATGAAGATCATCGCGCGGCAATAAATTTGCTGAAGATTCAATTCCCACGATCTCGCAAAAATTTCAATCTTTCACACTCGCATCATTTTGTCAGAAAATTTTGTCACATATTTATTATTTCGGTCTGATTTTATTTTGCATAGACTGTGTATGCACATAATTCACGCATAGTATTCAGTATAGTACGCTTACATACAACCATTGTGTGAGAGTTATTAAATTGTTAGAAATAGGTTTATGTATGAATTACTACACAAATGTTTACACTCAACCTGAAAATGCTATATACATGATGTGCAGAACATCTAGGTGATCATAAACCATAATATCTTTGAGCACAAGGACATTCTGTAGTGAAAGACCAGCTAGTTAGGTACTGCAAGTTCGATACGATATTCATAATTGGTAGACACTTTACATTCAAACGTGTTTCAATTTCTCAAGTAATCTGCTCGCTTGTCAGAATGAAACCATTGAGTACAGCAAGTGGGACACAAGCGCTTAAAACTGAATTCTTGTGACTACAGATTCGATCAGCCATTAACTAACTGCTAACTGCTAGTTGCTAACTGCTTTCAAATTTGTCAAATTTATCCGCAGCGTTTCGCATTCACAGGTTACTTGTTGAACCGCTGGAGTTTTCAGTTTCAGTTTGGCAACTGTACGCACAGATATATTTCACAGATTTAAATCGAGGAAAACCACACTACCGTATGTCAAGTAAAAAGTTCTATTTCGAAGGGCTTACCGTAACTGCGTAGGAAGTAGTCACCGGCCTCGAGGAGTAGGTTCTGCGGGTCGTAAATCCACTTTCGTAAACCATGTTGCGATTTTTAGATTTGGATGCTTTCAGAGAGTTTTCAGATAGAATTGTTCGTTGGATTTTGGTTCGGATATATCGTCGTTGCGTGTTGTTCACTTGACGCCCGTTCGAGTTGATCTGCCTGAGAATCGCACGGAGCACTTGCTTATAATTTTTTGATTTTCAAAATTTTCACAGCCTTCGATCCCGCTCTCTCGCACGCTCGGCCCATACCTCTTTCTCTGTCCATCTCCCAAATAAACTTATTTTTGGAATTAAGAAACATTGACATCTCTCCTCGCAAAAGAGCGAGCGAATTCTGTTTACATAAAGCCAGCACTTTTCATACAGTTGCGTTCGGAAAAGCCTATATACCAATGTACAGCGTCTAGTGCTCCCAGGATTTGGAGCCCTTTTCTTCGAAAACAAACGTCACGGATTGCTTCCAGAATATTTCAGATTAGTTTAGAATTTCGATTTAGCGTCGGATATCACGATAATTGATGATGGCATCTGATGATGGGAGAAAGTGGCCCTTTTGGAAAAGGCTAAATATGGATCGATAAGCATCAAAACATTTTGCTGTTTATTTATTAATAATTCTGGTACATATTTTCAATATAATGAGCAAATATTGAAAGCGGCAATTGCACGATTTTTAAGTTCAATTGGCTTTTAGCAATATGATTACATGTAGGCAGTAATAACGTTCTATATCTAAATCGTGCTCCCATCATTCAAATCATTAGCGTTCAAATCATCACCATTCAAAACATCAGCGTTCAAATCATCATCATTGTTCAAAGACTAATTACCTAAAACTGATAGAACGAGCTGCATAGTCTAGGCATTTTTTAAAGCAAATAAGGCGTGAAATTAAAATCCTGAGAGCAATTTATGGTCAGTGGGTATCACCTGTGGACCGGACACAGAGCTCTCCACGCAAATTTCTGGATATAAATTATTAAGAAAATACAAAAATGAAAATAAGATAAAAATAAATGTTGTTTTCCAACAGTTTGAGGCCAGATTACTCATACCATCTTACAATAAGATCGGAAACATGTATTCGTGAACATATAAATAAACTGCACATCATCCTATACCCACATACTCGTATTAAATCGAATGTGTAGGTGTTTGCTTGTACATAAACAAAACCATGGCAGAAATTCAAAAAAGCAAATTCTTTATGACATTAACCTTAACGAGAGGCAATGAATGACTCGTAATTTCAAGGCTGCCAAGTCAGCCTAATCGGCGTACAAAAATGTCATTGAGCACTGACTTGGAATTTAATGTTGTCTTTGTATTAATTAGGTGTAAATAGACATTGAAAAATTAGCAGAAAATAAATTGGCCAAAAGGATTCAAGAATAGCAACTTCTCAACAACTCTTCATGGATTGAAATGGTAAGGTTGCACAACATTTGTTGATCTTCATAAATCGCCTATTAAATGTTATTACTTTAAGTATGCAACTTGGAAAAGTTTACTAATGGTCCGTTAAAGTACTCATAATTCATTAATTATTTTAATGTGTGATGAAATATGGAGGTCATTGTCTGGTGACCCTGATGTTGAGTCTTCAGATCTGTAAGATCTTTAAAAGATTATTTTCAAAAACATGCATCTAAAATAATAAATGTAAATACCATATACAAAAGAGCGTCGAAAAGTCAGTGAATTAAATAATATGGTTTCTTGAAATGTTGATTTAATGTTTGATATTAGGCTAATTTACAAAATTTATAAACCAATACACATATAGTTGCAAATTGCAATGAACGTTTTATAAATATCAATGCAAAAGCCCATAAATTCAGACCCGTTTGAATATAGACGGAAAACGAGCGGCAAGAAGTCAGTGACTTAATACCAGAAATTCCTTGGTCGGGTGCCCCTCATAATGATGCAAGTGGCGCAGGTGCAAACACTTCCATGTGTCTCCGGTCCCGAGTCGCGATTTTGATCCATTGGAGTACATAGATATACGACTTTTGGTTTCAGATGCATGGCTGCTCAATTTATCCGCCCAGCCAGCGTGGTTGCCTTTTTTTGTGTCTGCGATAATTTCGTTAAATAATTGAGTATGCAATGAAAATTGCGCATTACAGCGACATAAGTACAATGAATGGTTTTCTTCGGGGGGGTTTACTGTGCGTCTGTGTGGGGACATAAGTGCCTATATGGTTACAAACACCTGTTCATTCGTCTTGCTAGAATGCTTTTCTTTCCTCACTTTTTCCCAAATACTCGCATAAACGGCATTCAAATCCGCACGTTGCTTGACATTTTGTAATTTGAACAAATTGCACGCATTTTTGGGGCAACTCCTATAAATAGTGGAGTTGCTGCCGCTGGAAATATTAGTTTCGAGCAGAGCGAACGACGCGTTGGAGCCACCGTAAAACCCTCAAAGGACTATTACTAAATTACCTAAAGCCCCAAAGGATATCCTCTTAAAAGAGCACCATGAACAGAAATTACATTGTCATACTGCAGCTGCTGGGAGTGCTGGTGGTGCTGACCTACGCAAGTGCGATCCCCAAATACGAAGATAGCCACAAGTAAGTGACTTACAGTGACCCATGTACGATACTTATTTGGAGTGGCTTCAGGTTCTATGCGGATAAGGCGCAGCGGGATAGATCGTACTATAACGAGAACAAGACCCAGCCCAGTGAACCACAGGCAGCTTCCACAAAGGACAGACTGGAACGCCTGGGCTATACCACTGGCTACGGATCCCTAAATGTGCGTGAGCAACATCGGAACCCCCATCTCATGCTAAATGGCTACTAAAATTACATTGATCTTTGAACCATACTTACCCAGGGTTATCCTGGCGGCACTGGACTATCCGCCTACAATCCCATAAAACTGGACCTGGGCGGCGTTGTCCTGGGCACTCTCGTGGGCATTGGCGCCATCATACTGATTCCCAAGATCCTATCCGCCTTCCATGGTGGTTATGGCGGATATGGCCGCAGTAAGTGCAATAGGTGTAGAAGTAATGTAGCAGAACAAAGTTAATTTCGGGTCATTTGCAGGCGAGGACAGCGACCTAACACCTCTGAGCAGCATGATAAACAAGATTGACGATGTTTTGGGTCAGAACAATATTGACTCTACGAGTTGCATGCAGCGTGCTGTGTGTGGTTATGTGCGCTCTACGGAATATAATATGAAGACCGGATCCTCAGACCAGATGGACGAATTTATTCATATGCTGGCGGAGTAATTGCAACCCTTTATCTTCAAGGCACTTAACAGCTTATATTTGCTTTTGATTCACTTATTTCTAGAAATGCCCTGGTGGATTACCTCCTCGATGGAACGGCCATAAAGGAGGCATTGGAGCATGGAAAGCGAGCCAACGATAGAGCCTGTGAAGAAGTGTACTCCAATTGTCCACTGGACAGTAAATCAGCTACTGATATTCTAATGAAGCTGATGCCAAAGAAAACCCCACAAGGAAAAGGAAAATCAAGTGGAATTTCCCGGGAAAAGAAGGTTTAGTTAATGTTGTTATCTTAAATGTCAAAAAGATTGGTTTCCATACGCATACAACCAAATATTTTCTTCACATATCAATAAACTCCATTGTGTTATCTTTATTCAACTTGTTATTGGGCTTTTAGGCATTTCTAAAACAATTATCAAGGCCTTAGGCCATTTACCATATAATTTCTTTAGAAATAAGGTTTAAGATTATATTTTAAGCATTTGTGCCATTTGAAGACCTCTATTTTGGGGACTCATTCTTAGCCGCATTGCCGCTTAAAATAATTTGCAATTGTTTTTCCTGCTGTTCAATGAGCGGCAGCCATTGCTCTGAAGGAGCTATAAACTTGGTTGGTTCAAAGTTGGGTATTTTACCCAGTTTTCCCAAAACCGATCTGCGACGCGCTTGATTCTCAATCATGATGTGTTCCAGCTTGTCTACCAAGTGGTTGGACTCATTGATCAGGTCATCGATGGACTGCAGAAGGGCGTACCAATCTATTTTCTGGGTGCCAATCAAGGCATTACCCCTCAATCGGAAGGGAAAGGGTACGAAGCTGCGCCAAGGTTTAAACGATTCGATCGTATAGGGTATAAAATGTCGCTCTGATTCCATTTCCACTGCATCGTCATCGAAATGCCAGGATGCCAGAGTAGGAGCAAGTATAGTGTTACTCCCACTTCTCCTCGACTGAGTGGATTCATCAAAGTTGAGCCTCCGTATCTTTGCTATCTGATCGCCAAGTCTCTTCTCCACATCGGAGATACCATCACTGTCATCGTCATCTGATTTGGGTAGGTAGGAGTTGACCAGATCCTTGTTATAGGCCTTCGGCAGTAGCGTCTGAGTTTGGCGCGAAACGGTAGGCACACTGTCGGTCATTTGGGACATGGAATAGGTAAGTACATCTGCAAGTATCTGTGTTATAACTAGTCAAACAGCATATCTAGTTGCAAACCTACACTTCTCATAGCCATCTTTCTTTTTGGAGTACTGTCCATCGGTGAGAATGCCTACGTCCTTGAGCAGAATCAGATCCTTCTGTACCCCGAAACTCACTTCCTTCATGAGCTTCGTCGGCACAAAGTCCGTCTGCAAGGCCACATTCGCCTTGCCAGCTCTTAGTCGTCTGTTTGGAAAAGCACTTAATAATATTAAAATTCTGTAACTTAACTTAATTACCTCGAAGCATCCAGTAACTTGGCCCGAAGCAGGGCGCTCTTATCGGGCTTTGTGAGCGTGGAAACGCTAACTGCCCGCCAAGGAGGTCGCTTGGCCTCATTTTCCTTTTCCTTCTCCGCAGCCAGGTCCTTCATGCGTCTCCAACTGTTTTTGGCTCTAAAGAGAAAAGAGGTATTAAGTTATTAAGCAAAAAATTGTGTCAATAATAGGCCAAACTGTAGGCCTATATTACCCACCTATTCAATGAGGCGCTGCTCGAACGAATGGTTGAATGCGGAGTACCTTGTTGGTCATCCACACTTTGCGTCTCGCTGGTTTCCGATGATGTGCCACTGTTGTTGGAGCTGGTACTCTGCTTTTGCCTATTCATGGTAGCGAGTTTTTTGCCTTTTTAAACTTTAAATGTGTGTTGGTGGAGAAAACTTTGCTTGACGTCTCTATTAGCAGTCAATACATCGATGCATAAACAATTCAGTGCATCCTGGTTGCCATGGAGTCGACTGAAATAGTTGGGGATGGGTGCTTGTATATCGACCTGTGGATGAAGGGGAATCACAAGGCGCCAAATAATTCAGGCATTTACACCTGGTTAAGCCACTCAGTGTTGGCACTCTAGCTATATTGCTGTTTCTATTTTAATAATAATTTCCTTAGCCATATACAGACATAACAAAAACATAGTTTATTATTCAGTAAGATTTCTATTTTAGGAATTGTTATAGAAAGCATTAAGTATGCGGAAGACGTCGCCATTGTAATTATCCAAATGCGTTCTTCCCCCTTCGTAGGTGCATTTAGCAAATAGATCGTAGTTCTGCTTATGGAACCAATAGTTTTTGGTAGTGCTATTTGCGCCAAGATCGAGGGTATTAAGCTGCAGCACTCCGAAGTGGAACGTCCTTCCGTCAGTCTGGACACTCTGCACAACAATTGGTTTGGGAAGAGCTCCTTCTACGGAATCTCCATGCAGTTGCTTTGCTCGAGCAGCAGCCACAACGAAAGCTTTGACCAGGGTCCTTGCCTGAAGCTGAGAAGTTGTGACTTCCGATCCGTGCGAATTTTTAACTAGGTTTTTGTTAAACACCGTAAAGATGGTGTGCGGGTGGGAGCAACTGATGTCCGTATGCAAAGCTAAAGGGAATAACATAATTAGCCCAGCATCGGGCAGTACTTATTGAATAACTCACGATATAAGTTCTCAGTTTGGTAAATGTGGTATTTCGGAATCGATATCGTACTCTTCATGGGGTAAAGATCAGGTAAATCTCCTTCAAATTTTCCCTTAACAGCTTCGATAGCTCGATTGGCAAACACCACTTTTTCAGCATTGATTGAGAAACCTATTAGATCCCCATCCTTGTTTAAGGAAGCCTTAAAAGACGCATTGTCTATCAGTTTCCTTCGTACAGAGACTGAACGGCCGGCCAGTTTTTCACTTTCATGCAGGAGTTTGTTTACCAACAGGCGACTAAAAAGATAGATATATGTACATATTTATTTCTGTTGTAGAAATGCAGTACAAAGATATAAACTTACTTGACCCTTTCGTGTGATATTCCGTAGGAGCGGGGCAGGTTAAAAGCCGGTCGCTCCGGCAGCCTTACCTTGGGCAGCTTGACTTGCTCTGCATCAAGCACGTGGGATGCCAGAATCGCATACCGTACACTCTTGTCTACGGTATTTGGCAACTGCTGGCTGGCAATGGCATCCTCGATCTGCTTGGGAAAGCTTTGGATCTCGATGGAGTTGGTCAGCACCTGGGCCTGTGGCAATCCACCAATTAGCACGCTGTGGTCGGAGTAAGAGTGGCAAACTGTAGGATGCCAGTCAGGGTGACTGCTGTCTTCGGGAACCGCCTTCTCGCGTGTGCCAACAATGCCCACCCTGATGGTAAAGTCAGATATATTACCTATTACAATTAGTACTTATTTCCCATTGATACTTACAGTTTTCTTTCCACTTTGGCGTTCAAGATATCCTCGGGATTCTTCACCTGAACACCAAGTTTCAGAAGCTCCGCGGCGGCGCCAGTTTCCTTGGGGACTCGCCTACCCTGGACCAGCCAGTGCTTCTTGAAATGCCAGCCGATGTGCTGGGCACAGAGGGTGTTCGTCAACCTCATTTCAGTGAGGATTTGCTTGTTTTCGTTGAATGAAATAGAATCCGGCGGACTGGTTATGAAACTCAGTGTTGCCAGATGGAGACAGATTTTCCCTGCCACTTTGCCAGAAAATATAAAATTTCTATTAGTGATGCGAACTCTTCAGTCACGTTTTGAATCATGAAACCGTGACTTCATATTTTTAAATTTATTCTATTTGTTTTTTTAGACCGTATAATATTGCACTTATAACAAAATGGAATGGCAATATCACATAATTTTACTTTGTTTGGCGCTAGATATTTTTAAAACTAGTAATATTTTAAGACACCAAAATATCACATTTCAGGAACTGTCGATAGCGAGGCATCGGTTTTCGGTTCCATCACTAATTGCGAGTATGGTCATACTTTTGGGTAATTGTAATAAATAAAGGAAAGGCGAGGAGCTTTGTTAAAATTTTAACAAAATTGGGTGACATTTTAGAAGGTAAGTGCTGAAAGAAGTTTAAAAAATATAGCTGCATGTACGGCGAATGTTAGTAACTCGGAAATCCGTGTTCTAGTCGCTCTGTTTCTCCCGCAATACTTACGATACCGCACCGCCCGACAAAAATGCCGCGATATAGGGAGTGGGATTTGGCCTGCAAGGTGTATGTGGGCAACCTGGGCTCATCGGCCTCCAAGCACGAGATAGAAGGTGCCTTTGCGAAATATGGACCCCTGCGTAACGTGTGGGTCGCCCGCAATCCGCCTGGTTTTGCCTTTGTCGAGTTTGAGGATCGCCGAGACGCGGAGGACGCAACGCGTGCCCTGGACGGAACACGCTGCTGCGGCACCCGGATTCGCGTGGAGATGTCTTCGGGTCGCTCACGCGATCGCCGGCGCGGAGAAGGTGGCAGTAGTGGACGCTCTGGCTCCGGCCGCTACAGGTAATTTCTCGACGAAAAACTGTACTTCTGATGGTACTTGACTCAATGTGTGTCTCCCCAATGGAATCACGGATCACTTGACTCCGAAAATTGGGTACTTCCTTCAGGATTCTAAGCATATAATGATGTCTCCAACCGTCCAAACTAATCAATTCTTATAAAAACGTATACAATTTGTTATCGAATCTTCATTTGAATCATCGCAAAAACATTAATTGCTAATAGCAAACAAGTACATTTTCCCGCCTTTTTCTGCACGTGATAGAACAGCCTGCGAAGAATGTCTGCTTTTTAGGTACTTCTTCGCAGTCTGTTTTATTCATAACATTATAAAAATACATATACAAAACGTTCTATACATAACATTTCTAATTGAAAATTGACTTCGTACGTTATTCAGACGAAACCTACAAACTGTATACATATATTATCTACGATCCAATCATTTAGTGGTTGTTAAATGCGAGTTATCGACACTTTTTCAGGATAACTCCTTCGGCTAGAACTACTTCCACTGCTACTTCTTCCTTCTACAACATCAACAATCTACAACAGCAACCATCTTCACAGCCACAGCCAGCAACCTTCAACTTGCAACTCTAAATTAACCATGTTCAGCGTCACAGCACAGAAGTTTTGATTAGCAACCCAAATGATTTCATCCTAGAAGAAGCAATGCAGTCGCCCAAAGAGTTCTACTTATGAAGTTATCCTGCGTATCTTTCAAATAATTGCTTACAATTATTTCTTTACTTTAGTTGCGTAAAATACGAGGGTTCGCTGATAAATATGAAGGTCCGCTTTCTCAAGTACTTGACTCTGATGTCGAGAAAACTGGCCTTAAACGAGTTTAACGCTTATAATACAGTTACTATAGATTTGTCCGACCATTTTTTCATTGCAAATTTATCCGACACCTACGTAGAGAACTTTAAATCCTATATATAGGTTGGTTCTAAAAGCAAAAGCAGCAGCAGCAATAAAAACTAAACTTATTTGGTCCCTAGCTTAATTCATAGAAACAAAACAGTTTGCACAGCTTTCATTTGTGTTTCCCCTGGTAATTAGTTTAAATAATGATTCTGCAGTATTTAACACACCTATTTGGCAGCACTTTGTAAGGCGCGTATGTACATACACTTCTTACCATTCTAAGCTGATTTTATTTCATGTATTTCAACATTAAAGTAATCTTTTCTTCTTTACCAATGCGTTTATTTCAGGTCCCGATCACCACGTCGCTCCCGATCGCCCCGCAGCCGCAGCTTCTCGCGTGATCGTCGAAGTCGCTCGGACTCTCGCGATCGTCATTAATATTTCAAAAAGGATAACGTTTAAGCAGTGTCGCAATCGAAAAACAAGGTGGCTTAGGCCGACTTATTAATAGGATGTCCTATGTTGATTGCGATGTAAGTAAATTTACTTCAGATGACAATATAAATCTTTCGATGCATTCTTAAAATTCCTTTTTTTTTACAAAGAAATAAAGACGCACAATCAGCGAGTTTTGATCGGTTTCATATATCATCAAAAGCCGTTTGTTTCCAGCAAAAAGGGGACGTGCATAATGCACTGTTTATTATGTGAGAATTGACGTGCTGCTGTACAACTTTCTTAGAAGTATGTTCGGATAATAATTTAAACAGGCGCACGAGTGTAAAAATATTATGTATACTAACAAAGGTACACTTTAAACTTAGGAGAAGACGCAACACGAATTCGTTGCACATTTCGCACTGGAATAAACCTTACGTCTAGTCATTTTATGTATCCTCGCTGCAGGGCTCTGAGCCCCATCCCAAAAAGCAGATCGGATTGGTTATGGCAGCCCCTAGCGCATGCGGTATGTGTTCGACTCCTGAATTTGAGACAATTCGCCCTTGAAATTAATGTCGATGACAAAGTCCAGGTCACGGTTGTTCCGCTCGTTGGGCTTCATTTGGAACGTGCCAGTGATCTCCTCGTTCTTCTTGGCCGTCATGTGGTCATCCAGATAGAACACGGTTTGCTTCCAGTGCGTATATGTGGAGTCTGGTGACGTACTGAACCCAAGACGCTTGTGGCACTTGGTGAATTCTATGTTGAAGTAGGTGACTAATGCATGCACGAAGTCGTTGCGCTTGATGCACAGGCTGAACTTGGACGAGAAGTTGAGATCTGCCTTTTGCACGGTATACAGGTCCACCTCCTTGACCATACAAGATGTGGATACCACTTGCTTGGGATCGACCACGTCGACCAGTGGCTCAGTTACGGCCACCTTGCGAATGCAGCTCATGTCGAAACCGTAGACATCGTCCCACCAGTTGATCTTCTCGTCCTTGTACTGGCGGTCTTCGATGGCAGTAATGTACAGCGTGCCCCTGTCCGGGAACATCATGCCGTCCTTCTTCAGCCACTTGTCCCGCGCGTACAGCACTGTATCCAGCATGGACTCGTAGAAGAGGCAGTAACTAGAGTAGGGACGGAAATTATAATGGTCAGTAGTTAGCAGTGAATCCAAGTTATTTAACTTTCACAAATCCCAGTTATAAATTTGTCAATTCAAATATGCCAATACGGCATTAGTAGGAGGTGGAGGTTTTTTAAGCTTCACCACTAATGGAAACCTACCCCATCCACTCGGAAATGATGATGTCCACTCCCTCAATACCATTTGGAAGCTCAACCTCCTCAATCTTGCCCTTGACAACCTTGATCACATCCTGCAGATTGTTGTCAATGACCACTTGGCGGGCGAACTCAATGATGTTGGAGCAGTCGACGGCGATCACCTGAGCGGCGCCGGCTTTGGCAGCGAACATGGACAGAATGCCTGTGCCGCATCCCACGTCCAGTACGGTCTGCAAAGAGGGGATTCCCTGATAAGAACGGCCACGAAAAATAATGAAATCCCGGAAGTTAACCCTACCTTGCCCTGGAACAGATGCTTGTTGTGGTACATGGCATTGCGGTATGTGACGGTGCGCACCTCGTCCTTGAGCATCTCCTCGTGGATCCCGAAATGGGCATAGGAGTCAAAGTAATAGTCGCGGGACGTCATCTCGTCGGCATTGGCATTGGGATTATCACCGGTGGAGCCCTCCGCGGGCAGCTTCTTCGCCACATTGTTTGAGTTCGCATTTGAATTGGGCGTGATGCCGGTCGCCGATTCCACAGCTGCCTCCATGGGGATGTCTGTGCTGGCCTGCGAATCGGGTACGTCACCTACTGGTCTGTCGATTACCGTCACATTTTGACCAAAACTCACCATTTCCTAATTCCTTCGGCGTCTCTTTGGTTTTTCACGTCGAAAAATTAGCGACTAAATGATGGGACTCTTTCTACAGCACGCTAGTTTAAAATGTCGCTTGACAACACTGCTCCCCAGACAAAAACTGAAACAAATACCGCCAGTGCGATACTATCGGTGTTCACTAAAATTGTAGTATTTTTAGTCGTCTACGGAAGGTTCTATAAAAAGGAGTATAATTTATTTATTTAAAACTAACTCAAAGTCTAGGGTGACAATGGTTTATACAGAGTGAGAAATGAATATGGTTTTATATTGTATGAATTTGGTTGGAGCCAAAAGGGTATAATTTTGTTGATGGTGAAGGTATAAAACTATAAGGTAACTAATTAAGTGTTAAATACATAAAACAGAAAACATGTATAATCGATAGTTGTAAATGAATAGCGATAGTTTTACTGTCACGTGTACATCTCTATCGACCGCTTGACCGGTAATTTTGGCGGCAAAATATTGGCACATCGCATTTATTAAACAGAACGAAATATAAAGCGGGCAGAAGTAGCGTCTATTACCACAGTTCCTCCTTTTAACTTTGTTTACATATCAAAATGGAAGGCTTCGACGATGCGGGTGTGTTCTTCTCGGACAATTTCGGCGGAGAAAACCAGCAGGATGCACAAATCAACTTGCAGGCCGTGAAAAAGAAGTACAAGGAGTTCATTCGCACTTTCAACGAGGAGAACTTTTTCTACAAATACCGGTAAGTGGACCGCATCTCCTAATCTGAACCACATAAAAGGTAATCCTTCTGCAGTGACACTCTGAAGAGGAACTACCTGAATGGCCGATACTTCCTGGAAATTGAGATGGAGGACTTGGTGGGCTTCGATGAGACTCTAGCGGACAAGCTGAACAAACAGCCAACGGAGCATTTGGAAATCTTCGAGGAGGCTGCCCGGGAGGTGGCCGACGAGATAACAGCTCCCCGGCCGGAGCACGAGGAGCATATGCACGACATCCAGATTCTTCTGAGCTCCAATGCGAATCCCACCAACATACGGCAGCTGAAGTCGGACTGCGTATCCAAGCTGGTTAAGATCGCCGGAATCATTGTCGCAGCCTCAGGAATCAGTGCCAAGGCCACGCGAATGTCCATCCAGTGCATGTCTTGTAGTACGGTCATCCCGAACCTCAAAGTGAATCCAGGTCTGGAGGGCTACTCCCTACCCAGGAAGTGCAACACGGAGCAGGCGGGCAGACCCAAATGCCCGCTGGACCCCTTCTTTATCATGCCGGACAAGTGCAAGTGCGTCGATTTCCAGACCCTTAAGTTGCAAGAACTCCCCGACTTTGTGCCGCAGGGTGAGATTCCCCGCCACTTGCAACTCTTCTGCGATCGCTCGCTTTGTGAACGTGTGGTGCCCGGCAATCGTGTGCTTATCCAAGGCATATACTCCATTCGCAAGGTGGGCAAACCCTCTCGTCGTGATGGTCGCGAGAAGGCCGTCGTTGGAGTCCGTGCTCCTTACATGAGGGTAGTGGGCATCACAGTAGACTCAGAGGGGGCGGGCGCCATCTCCCGATACAGCAACATCACATCTGATGAGGAGGAGCACTTCCGGCGAATGGCCGCCTCTGGGGACATCTACGAACGTCTCTCACAATCGCTGGCTCCCAGCATCTTCGGTTCGCGGGACATCAAGAAGGCTATTACTTGCATGCTTTTTGGCGGGTCCCGTAAGCGTTTACCGGATGGTCTGTGCCGTCGAGGCGACATTAACGTCTTACTGCTGGGCGATCCTGGTACTGCCAAGTCACAGTTGTTAAAGTTTGTGGAGAAGGTGGCACCCATAGCAGTCTACACTTCGGGCAAAGGCTCCAGTGCGGCTGGTCTCACGGCATCGGTTATGAAGGATCCTCAGACGGTGAGAAAATACTTTGCATACCCAATCCTTACAAACGAAATGATATATTATTCTGTAGCGCAACTTTGTCATGGAGGGTGGAGCCATGGTGCTGGCCGATGGCGGAGTTGTTTGTATTGATGAGTTCGATAAAATGCGAGAGGATGATCGTGTGGCTATTCACGAGGCTATGGAACAGCAGACAATATCCATTGCCAAGGCCGGTATCACGACCACCTTGAACTCACGTTGTTCGGTCTTGGCGGCTGCCAACTCCATTTTCGGTCGATGGGACGACACCAAGGGCGAGGAGAACATTGACTTTATGCCCACAATTCTCTCCCGTTTCGACATGATTTTCATAGTCAAGGATATTCACGACGAGTCGCGGGACATTACGTTGGCCAAGCACATCATCAACGTGCATCTGAGCTCTAACAAGTCGGCGCCTTCAGAGCCGGCTGAGGGTGAGATATCGCTGTCGACATTCAAGAAGTATATTCACTACTGCCGAACTCATTGCGGTCCGCGCCTGAGCGAAGCTGCCGGCGAGAAGCTAAAGAGCCGCTACGTGCTAATGCGCAGTGGAGCCGGACAGCAGGAGAAGGCATCGGACAAGCGACTGAGCATTCCCATCACTGTGCGCCAGTTGGAGGCTGTCATCCGCATCTCGGAGTCGCTGGCTAAGATTCGCTTGCAGCCATTCGCCACAGATGAGCACGTGAACGAAGCACTTCGCCTTTTCCAAGTGTCTACTCTTGATGCTGCCATGACTGGCAGCTTGGCCGGCGCCGAAGGATTCACGACCGAGGAGGACCAGGAAACACTCAACCGCATCGAAAAGCAATTAAAGCGTCGCTTTGCAATCGGATCTCAAGTCTCAGAGCAGAATATTTTACAGGTAAGCACAGAAGTCTTATGTTTCGTATGAACAGCTTTTACTGGCAATGCTTTCTTTACTTAGGACTTTTTGCGTCAGAAATACGAAGAACGCACGGTAATGAAAGTTATTCATACTATGATTCGACGAGGAGAGCTTCAGCACAGGATGCAACGGAAGATGCTCTATCGTATTTGCTGAACACTGTTAATCAATTCATTATTTGTCCATCGTTGAATGTGTCATCAATCATTTCGTCACGGTAATTGTATTTCCATATTTATTATTAAGAGAACACTACATTCTTTCCCATTATATGAGCCGAATAAACCAAATTAAATCTTTATTTTATTCATTCAAGTGCTGCTTAATATTTAAACTACAATAATACAGTGATGATTTACAAAACTAAAAGTTTACAGAATAGATTTCTGCGATACTTGTAGTGGGAAATCCTAGGTATTTTAAGTGCATAAGTCAGTCGAGCTGGCAGACTATTTGTTAGAGAAATATTTATGATTGTTTACATTTAAAAAATGAGATTATAAGCAATGTCTAAATTCTGTTTGTTGATAATGCTTGGGTGAAACACATAGACCCTTTGGTCGGCCTCCAAATTTCCGCGCAAACCGACAATTTCGCTCTACATTCGACTGTGTTTGCCTACGTCATTCGGACAAATCACAAAAACCAATCATATCGCCTTGGCCACTTGCCAATTTCTTAAAAATATTTTTTCCTCTGTTTGAGAACGTTTATTACTTCCTTTTATACAAAACTCAATTAGTATATATTTGCGCATGCACAACTATGTACTTACATACATTTGAAAGCTGAAAAGTACTCAATATGTGCACAAATTTTCAAAAATACGTAAGCGTGTTACGTATGCTCGCTTTTGGCCATTTAAAAACAATGGCAAATATATATATAAGCATTCGAAATTTATGAATTTCCGGAAGGAAATCTTTACAATCTTGTTTACCACGGAACATGTACGGAATGACTGTATTATTTAAAAAGTCCTAACAATAATATTTATTTCTCGTACATTTTTCTCAACTGACGCCACTTTGCTGCGTTTTAAGGTCCGAATGACGTCAAGTTGATCTAAAATTTATTGAGGGCGAATTAGAAACATGTTTCTCTAGACGTTTTCGAAAAATTCCAGAAAATCATGGACTTCGTATCAATAAAAAACACCCAGGCTATGAAAATAGATATAATTTATTTGTGACGAGAATTTCCAATATCCATTTAAGTCTGCTAACTATTTAAACACATAGTACATGTGTGTATGCTGTTTGCTCAATTTAATAACATTGTGATACTTTGAACTTTGCATCCGAACCCAGGGTCAAGATAATTCAAACATCAAACAATAAGAGATTAATTGAAATTCATATTCCGATATTGATGCACATGAGTGTTCGTATTTTTCAATTACCTCTGCCTCTGTCTGTTCATCGTTTCCATTAACAAAGCGTTGCACCGATGTTCTTTTCATTGCACATGAATATATATGGCTATGGATCCATGTGTATCTATAAGTTCGCTTTTCCCCTAAACCAATTTACTCCATTTTTTTTCCACCACGCGCTACGTAGGCTGTAGTTGTTTACACTAACTAACCAAAATAGTGATTTCTGCGTGATGTCAACACGGTTGATTGTCAACACGAGCTAAGCCTAATAATATAGTTTGATATTTGAGAAATATACTGGATACATTACGCAACCGATGACAATTATTATTTGTCTGTTAATTAGGTTGCACACCATTGTGAGCTCTGGCGAAATTAGATAATTGTTTCCAACGCGTTTGTGTACTTTGTGAAACAAAAATTCTTGAACGTCATCAGCATCATCAGCATCCGTGGATTCCTTCCCATTCTCGCGGGAGAGCAAATGGATGGGATTCAGTCCGCCGGAGCAGAGGTGTAGATACAAAAGGCCCATGTAAGATATATGGCGGTAGGTGGGAGAACAAAAAATCGCTGAGTGGGGCCTTTGTTTTGTGAATGAAAATGAAAATTCTCGCCGTACATATGCCAAGCCTGCGTCCGCCGTACGCCAGTACAATTTTAGATCTCGAGCGAGCGAGTTCGGCCGGAACAGAGAGCCTACAATCGATGAAAGCGGTATTTGTTGGTTAGAAACGCGGACTCAGATTGCCATTTTTGTCGCAGTGCACCAGAGGATCATGTACATATACCCCAGCTCCCCGGAATCAGCATCGTCCTTGCAGTCCGAAGAGAGTGCGGCCATCAAGATTCAGGCCGGATTTCGTGGCTACCGCGTGCGCAAAGAGATCCACCGATCCAGCAAGAATCCCCATCCCAGGCGGAATCAGCGACAGCGTCCCAAGAACAACGCCCTCATGGAAAACCAGGCCAATACCGGAAATCCCCGTCCCAGCGGCGAGGATCAGCGCACGGCTTCCGAGAATGGTGGCAAATCCGTGGAGGATCGCAGTGCCACCAAGATACAGGCGGGATTTCGTGGATTCCTGGTGCGAAAGAAGCAGAAAATCGCCACCGATGCGGCCGTTAAAATTCAGGCTGGCTTCCGGGGATTCAAAACACGCAAAGAATTGAAACAATGCGAGCCCATTGTGTAATGATTTTGCGCGTTGGCCGTTCCACAACTCTGATTTCTACTGTACATACAAATATGTGTATTCAAATCCTACCGCTTAGTTCAATACGTGTCGTGTAAATAGATTAATATTAACTGATAGCTTCCAGAAGAATAAAATACTCTTACTCAAGAAACCGCAATCTTGAAAGACAGCACTATCCATTAACGAGATCAATTTGTTTGTGTTTCCTCTAGGCCTATTTTTGGTGTACAGTGCTGTATGTATATGGTATGAATACAGTGAATAAACATTTTATTCATCGAACATATAGCACTTGATGGAAGCTTACGAAACCGAAAACACGTAATGATAGTTGTAAAGTTCTGTTTTTGGGGAGCACCAAGATAAAGGCGTGTCTATTTTTTAATAGAACCCATTTAATAGCTGGCTAGCGAATGTATTCATCAAGATTCAGTGCAACGACCCAAGGTGCACACCCATCCCATAAATCTGTCAAGAGCGTTTAATGTTTAGAGCCAAACTGGCAACCATCCGCCGCCATCCGTAGTCTGTTTAAGTTGAATGTGTTTAAATTGAGGAAAATCAAATGTTATGACTTAGTCCCGGAAATCTTTCCGCTTCTTTGATAACAAAAACATTTCAGATTAATTATATATATTATTTAGATATAGTTCAGCGTTGATACCTATACAATTCGTATACTTTATTTTCTTTTGTTCGCCTCGGCGCTTTTAATGCGTTTTCGCATATGTTTGGGGATTACTCTGAAAACTTCGCAATCGATTTGCACGGGCATCGAATTCTGCCTCATTTTCAGCCACCTTAATTCCATGTCAGCGCTTGACCTAGCCTCGCCTGGAAATAGGTTCATAGGATAAATATTAAAAACTTGCTTACCAATTTAGAAATGATCACCTACCAACGGTTTTGCTTCTCTGGGTTTTTGCACTTTTTTGCCCTTTGCCTGCACTGACCATCAAACTGTTCTCATCATCCGGAGTGGAATCGTTTCGAAGTGCATCCCCCCGCTGCAACTTCTGGCGTCTGGCGGCCAGGTTGCTCTCCAAACTGATGCCTTCCATTTTCCGGCTATGAACCTTTCGTTTTCGTGTGTGCATCCGGTATGCGGCTTGTATCTTCTTAGCCGCCTCCTCCTCGATGAATCGTTCCAGGGACTCACTGATCGCATCGTTACCAAAGGATGCCTTCGTGTCCAACGTGGATGACTTGGTGCCAGCACTGGCCCGTCGCAATCTTCGCCTGGTGAGAAAGCCACGAGCTCCAGCCTGGATCTTTGTGGCCGCCGAAACAATTGTGGATTCCGTTTCAGTGGATGTACCCATGGCGTCTGCCATGGCCGTGTCTATGTCCATGTCCTCGTTGCTGACCTTTTTCGGATCAAAGTAATCGGAATCCGTTTCAGACAACGAGTAGGCCATCATCTTCTTTCGAATGTTCTCCGAAGTTTCGTCGTCCAAACAGAAACTACTCGCGCCCATCCCTTTAGCTCCGTTCTCCACATAACTCAGAGCATCATCGATGGTCACGGATCTGAATAGTCCTCGCGGATCATCTCCTGCGATGGTGTAGTGCCTCATCAAATGCACCCTTCCGGATTCCTCCTCATTGAGCAACTCCTTCTCTTGATTATTTTCGGACACTTCATCACCAAAGACCACGGAATCGCTTTGAGCAGAGCTCTCCCTAGTTTCATCCCTCTGCAGTCGGTTGTATACGATGATATCTCCATCCTCGATGTCCAGGCTGGATTGCTCCTGCAGAGAGCTCATGGGTCGGATAACGGGCTCATCGAAACTGGGATCTGCTGAGGAAATCCTCTCGAGGGACTTTGAGTCACGAAGCTGAGACATTTTTTCAATTACCTCCTCTGGCTTGGATAACTTAACCGTGGCTTTGTCTATTGTATCTGCAGATAGTGTGTCCAAGCCCGTAGTTTCAGATAGAGATGAATCTGTATTCTCGACTTTTTGACTAGCAATATCCGGTTCTGATTCACCTTCGGAAACAGTAACCAGTGAAGCGCATCTTTTTATGCAAGGCTCCTCAATAACTTCTTCAAGAAGCTTAGCACTTGGAAACGGTCCGTGCTTAGAAGAATATTCAATCTCGTTCTGCAGGAAAGCATTGAGAAGTTCTTGAGTCGAGGCGATGTCCAGAGCTAGAGAAAATATAATGTTTTTACTGTATTTACCGATTAACAGACCTTGAATGGTTTTTCTAAACTTACACTGTACGAGCCCACCAAATTCAGATTGCGATAGGAGAAGGGCATCCTCCACTGAATCAAGACGATCTTCAGAAGCTTCCGCTAAACCTGCTAAACCAGAAGAGATTGCATTATCCTTTTCGGATGCATCGCCTAGATTCTCATCGATTATGGTACCAGGATTTAATTTAGATTCAAGCGAGCCATGCGTTCTATCTACTGTTTCAACTGTTTCTACTTGCGTGCTGGTGGTGAGCTCGGCTTTACTTGTGGTTGCAATTGCAGCTGTATCCGGATTGGTTTCCAACTCAACAGCTCCTTCAACGACTCCCTGGCTTGGTATTATGCGGGTTGACCCCACAAACCACTCGGACTTTGGTTGGGTCGTAGAAGTATCTTCTGAAGTATCTCCTGCGTTTCCGATAGCTTCCTGAATTAAACTTCCTGATGGTGTTCCTGCAGTTGGATAGTCGGTAGTCTCTATGGCTGTTATGCGCGAACTCGTAATGGAATCAATGGAGCTATCCTCGAAATTGTCAAGCTTTCTTCTTTCCATATATTGCCTGAATGCTCTTTGTATTATCAGGGCTGCACTTGACTTTCCTACGAGATCATCCTTTAATGGCTGAGTGGGACTTGCCTGAGATACATTCGTCTGTAGTTCAGTTATCCTTTCTGGCTTATCATTATGATTCGTTTCTTTCGACTGATTTTCTAAGTCTTTTAATTTTTCGGTCTGTAAATGTATACTTTTTTTATTCTCGTCTATGTCAGTTTTTGTATCTTTTAATTTATGCTGTTCCAGAGGCTGTATTTCAATGGGATCTGGTACTTTATCAGGTGATCTTTTCGTATTAGTTGGAGTGGAATTAACTATTGAAAAGTTTTCTATTTCTTGGAACTTATCCGACTTTAATTCCTTTACCCTCTTAGGTTCTTCACTTGATTGTGTCAAATTAATTGGGTTTGGCATAGTTTCTGCAACCTGTTGTTTATCTTGGTGATTTTCTGATGGCCATTTTAATTCTTCCACAGGTTTCTCAACTTCTGCAGATACACTTGCCGAATTAACTGGACTTAAAACGCCTCTCGAAGGCTCTTCTAGTTCTACATCTTGAAGATCTTCAGGTTGCAATTCGTTTATATGTTCTGGGTAATCAGGTAATTCCTGAGTGGAAATGGGGATTAAACTAACTTGCTGTTCTTCATTAGATGTCAATTTATCAACTACTTCGGATTCTGAGGATAATTTTACCAAGCCAGCTGTACTTAAATCACCTTTTACTGGGATTCCAGCCGCTTGGTGACTTGCAGACTGTAATTTTAGATATCTTCTATAAGCCCTTTGAATTTTAGAAGCAGCTTTAGTTTGCTCAATTTCTGCATCAACTGAAGATTGAGTTTTACTCAGTTCCGTGCGGATCCTGTGAGAATATCTTTTGAATGCCTTTTGGATAATGAGTGCAGCCATTTCTTGTTTTAGCCTTTTCCTTTGCTTGGCCTTTTCGATATATTTTCGATAAGCTCTTTGAATTTTCTTCGCAGCAAGATCTTGCTTCGATTTTTGAGTATCAGAGGCTTTCTGATTAAGGGTGTTCCGAACCCACTTTTGAATAACTATTGCAGCCCTGTTTTGTTTTTCAAAATCAGACTTACTTTTTAAAGAAGGCCTATTCCTGAACCGTTTGTAAGCTCTTTCTATGATGAGCACAGATCTTGTGATATTTAAGATGTCTCTTTTATAGGCTGACTCAAATTCCGTAATAGAATTTACGGGGGATTTTGGTTTTGACAGACCACTATCATCCGGATTTAATTCTCGGCCTTGAATGTTAAATTCATTGGTCAGCTCATTCTCATTATCAAGCTCCATTATGGTTTGTAGTTTAGTTCCGCCGGTTTGCTGATATTCAGGATCGCCTTCTTCAACTTCAATAATTACAATTTCCTCCTCGTTGTAATCGATATCTGATTCCGATTGAGTAGGTTCAATATCATTTACTTCTTTTTTACCATCTTTATTCGGTTGATTCCGAAATCTTTTCGGTATCTTGTATTTGGGTTTTCCATCATCAGAATCGAATGAAACAAAAAATGAAACTGAATTCTTTAGTTTCGGTTTCACAGCTTCTACTATTTCCTTGGGTGTATAGTAACTTGGAGCTCTTTCTGACATAATGTTGGGTTCTTTTACAACAGAAGCTACTTCTTTACCCGATTCCGGTCTTTTGATTTCAACCGGTGCTGGAGGGACCTCCAGATCCATACCAGTGGTCACCTTGGGCTCCACATATATATCATACCAGGCGCCATCGTCGTTGGGAGTCTTGAATGACTTGAGCTGTAACTCAGCTATGGGTGTGGACACAAGTCGTCCCGATGTTGGGGTGCCAATATCTTTTTCTCTTACACTAGGGCTAGATAACTTCTTGGTGGTCTTTTCAACCTCAATATGGTTAGTAGGTAAATTTTGGGTGCCAATTAATTGATTAGATACAAGCAATGAAGATTTTCTCTGCTAATTTAAAAACAAATTTAAAACCTTTTCGATTCTGAATTCTTACCAGTAATTACTTCGGGATTTTGGGTTGATTCATTTTCGGGCCTTGGCTCCAAAGCTAAGTCAAGAAATATTCATTACACATTTTGGCTATAGTTCCTCATTCTAAACTTACTATCTTTATCATCGAATACTTCTTCTTTAAGATCCGTTTTGGTTTCACCAAGTTTTGCTGGATCATCTGAACAATCTCCTTCAAGCACAACGGCGTCAACTGTGCTCTCCATATTTGCAACTAATGGTTCTACTCCTGCAATTATCATTTATTAAACAATTAACTATTCTAAAGCGGTTTTCTTACTTGTGCGATCTTTACTATCTTCGATCTCATTGCTTGTTGTATTGCTATGTTCATTTGATGTTTCAGATTTACCTTTTTTATGAAAACGATGAATAAATATCATAGGTATATTAATATCTATAATGTATAATTACTGTGTTTTTCAGCAGAAAAGGTGAATGGTTCTTCCGTTTTCTTGTCGGTACTAGCATCAGCTTGTAAGTCCTCCAATTCTTGAGAATTGGGTTTTCCTTCTAACTGGCTATTAATAGATTCAACCGTATTTGTAGCAGGTTGGTCCACTGGCATAAAAGTATTAGATTAAAATCATTGCATATGTAACTGCACTGTAATGTACTTACCAACTGCAATATCAGCTTTTCCCTTGGAAATTTCCTCATCGGCTTTTTGGGATTCTTGCAAAGGATCTTCCTCTGTGCTTTCATCAGCCGGGGGTTGTTTATCAAGTGAAGTTGACCTTTCTTTTTCTGATGAAGGCTCCTTTTCAAGTGAAATTGGCTTTTCTTTTTCAATTGAAGGTGGGTTTTCAAGTGAAGTTGACCTTCCTTTTTCTGATGAAAGCGCTTTTTCAAGTGAAATTGGCTTTTCCTTTTCGGATGAAGGCGGGTTTTCAAGTGAAGTTGACTTTTCGTTTTCTGCTAAGTATAAATAAAGTGTCATTGAAATTTATGCCATTTGAAATTCCCATTAAGATTTAGGTGAGTTATGGGCTTTAGAACTTCAGCCTTGGGAAATTTTTTTAATTTTTTGAATTTCTACAATATTATAACATCAACAAAATTACAAAAAAATTTGGAAAAAATAAATTTCTAAATTTGAATGAAGATTATTAGAGAATTGCTCCAGAAACATTTAGAGGTATGCCAGTTCAAATTCCGATTAATATTAGTTGAGTTATAGACTTTAGAACTTCAGTCTTGGGACATTTTTGAATTTCTAAAAAATCATAACATCAGAAAAATTACAAAAAAATTTAAAAAAATTTAAATTTTAAATATGAATGCAGAGTTTTAGAGAATTGCGCCAGAAACATTTGCAGGTATGCCACTTCTAATTTCGATTAGGATTAGTTGAGTTATGGACTTTAGAACTTCAGTTTTAGTAAAATTACATTAGTAAAATTACAAAAAAATTTAGACATGCGGACAATGACCAGTTCGTCTCGGCTATTGATCCTGCTCAAGAATATATATACTTATATTGTCGGAAACGTTTTCTTCTGCCTGTTAAATACTTTTCTACGAATATAGTATACCCTTTTACTCTACGAGTAACGGGTATAAATATATACATACCTTTTGCATCCTCTGAATATTCCGTCGACTTATCTACGAGTTTACCATCTTCAGCTTGTACAGACTCAGATTTGGTTGGAATAGTTTTATCCTCCGATTTTTCAGATACAGGTTTCAATTCCGCAATCTCGCCTTCTAGTTTAGTATCTTCGACTTGCTCAGAGTCGGAATTATAAGATCCTAGGTCTTTAGCATTGGCATCGGGGTTTTCCGGTACTATTTTACCTCTTTCCGCAGTTTCGTTCTCCACTTCTCGATTTTCAAGTTGCTTTGTTTCGGAATGTTGTTGTTCAGCTGTTAATCTTTCAGATTCCCCAAGTGAAATATTACCTTAATTTTAATATAAGTATCAGAATGTGTATTAGAATTATAATTCTAGTTATTTACCATCACTGACAGAAAGTTCTGTGCGGGTTCTTGTGTCCTGATTACCAGTTTCATGAAGTATAATCTTTATATTATCCTCTTGTTCTTTTGATATAAAAAAAAAGCATATTTATTCAATAACTATTCAAGATTGGTTTGAACTAGAGATTTATGTTATTTACCTGAGGATTTCGCAGAAATGGGTTTGTTTTTTAATTCAGTCCGTTCAGTATGGACATTTTGTGATTCATTATTGGTTTCTTCTGAGTTATTTTTACTAATAAGTCTGCTTCTATCTGGAGATGATCCCCTGGTTTCTAAACTTTCAGATTCTATTGGAATGATTTCCTCTTGTGACGGTTTTTTCATTTTATCCTGTAAGTTTTCCTCCGAGGAGTCATCAAAACGAAGTTTATCTTGAAATTTAACTTAACAATTGAAGATAATGAACAAAAATGCATTGAACTTACTAACCTGTTTGTTCTAAATTTTTGTTGATATTTTGTTCTGATAAATCATTTCTGGAATGTATTAAAAGTCCAGATAACTCTTTCGCTGCTTCTAATTCATCCATAGATTTTGTTTCCTTTTTAACTTCTGTCAATGTTTGTTTTTTATGATTAATATGTTATTATTATTTAACATTTTTTTAAAACTTACCTGGCAAGTGAGATGTCTCTGCTAAGCTTGGAGTACTCGTTTCCACATCTTCAGATGGTAAATGCCTCATTCGCTCTTGGTTATTTTCCGACACCTTATGATAATCCATATTGGGATCTTAAAAATTAAGTAAATTATTTTGGTGGATGTAATACATTTAAATTGTGTAGTTGCTTACCAGTTTCGATTACTTTGTCCAATGTTATATCATGATTTGGTGCCTCCATGATTTCTTCTAATGGTTCTTCTTTATGTATTTCTACTTTTTCCGTGCTGCCTGACACTTCTCCATCTTTTGTATCTTTCGGTGCTGTTTTCGGCACTTCTTCCACTTTTGGTGCTATTATTTCCGATTTTCCCCCCAACTCCAGTTTGTGGTCATTGTTTATCTGAATTTCGTCCTGATCAACTTTGCTTTCGGTAATCAACACATCCTGGGATTCCAAATTGGATTGAACAGTGTCTTCATCTTCAATGCTTGTCCTTTCTCTAATATTTTCATGTGTATCTGAGGGATGGATCTCTTCATTTGAAATTACATTTTGTGTTTCTGCAGATGCTTCCACATTCTTGTCGTCTAAAGATTCCATAAAATATTGTAAATGACATTAATGTAATTTAATCAAAATGTTTATTATCTTCTGTACCTTGCTCACGAACTTCTAGATTATGATTGACTAGTATGCTCTTTAAGCTATCTACTTCTACGTTGGGGATACTCTTGGTCTCTTCTCCTACCGAGGTACCTTCAGATAAATCCTTAGCTAAATAATTAAATGCAATTCAAGCTTCATTAATAAAAAATGAAGTAAATGAGTAAACGCTACTTACCTTTTAAATCATCAGGGCTTGCTAATGAATCTTCTAAAGATATGTCTTCAACATGCTCTATTTCAATCGAAACTGTGGGAGTAATTTCGTTTTTAATTTGAACTTCCTGTAATTGGTTTTCAGAGTTTAGAATTTTAGGTGGCGGAACTATTTCATTGGACGCAATAATGGCGGTATCTTTTTCGCCATTTTTCGTTTTATCAGATGAGGCGATACCCTGTTCCGCATTATTTTCCTGTACATCATCACTTTCTTTTTTCCCAATATTACTTGGTAATGTGCTGTCCTCACTTTCGCGACTCTCTTCAGGAAGATCACTGCCTGAGTCTACAGCCTTCATTTCAGATTGCACAATCTTACCTATTAATTTACTTTCTTCGACTTGATCAGAGTCGGAGTCGATTGGATTCGCTTTAATTTCATCCTCAGTTTTGCTATCTAAATCTCCTGTAGCAGGTTTATCCTTGCACTCCACTGGCGTTTCAGGTTCTATATCCAAGCTGCTTTTTTTAGATTTCAAATGATCCTCCCTTACCGACTGAAAATCTTTACTTGTATTTTGAGCTTTTACTTCGATTTGAGGCATCGTTTCTAGATCTAGACTTGTTGTATTTTCAACTTTTACTTCCGGTTCAGGATCTTGAATAGTTATCTTCTCGTCGGTAATGTCCTGTTCAAGTTTTGCTGGTTGATGCAGATTTACATTTAATTCTACATCGAATTCCTTTGATTCGTTCGAGTTCTTATTTTTTTGCAAATCAGGTTTGCAAATCATGCTTTCAATTAGGGCACCGCTAAGAATTTCTGCAAAATAGATTTTAACAGAATAGATTGACACACGAAAATGAAATGCAACTTCTGCTTAAAGCAGTAAATTTAATGGAAAAACATTAGCATAATTACCGCTTTTCCGCAAATTTATCGACTTTCGCTCGCCCTTAATGTCCTCCGCAAAATACTCCTTCTCAAGGCTGGCATCAACATTACTGTTCTCCACTTCCTCGTCCTCGTGAATTATTTTTTGATGGACTCGTTCCTCGAAGTTCGCCATTCCCAGCTCGGTGGATTCCGTTGAAAGCAGGGCGGTGGATACCGATGTGTAGGATCCGGTCTCGGAGGCATTGTCATTAAGTTCCTCGGCATGATCTGTGCCGGAGGATGTGGTTCTCTTGGCCCTATGCCGAGTCACCATTCTCCGGTAGGCTCTTTGGATTATGATGGCTGCTGTTGCCAAGGACACTGGGCCGTGCTTCAATCGATTTTGCTCCTGCTTCTTTTTCAAATATATGCGATAATGTCGTTGTATGACGACCACGGCTTTCATATAGTCGGCAGCTTTATGCTTAGGTTTACCATCGTGTTTTTGTGCGTCACGTGAATTTTTAAGTTTTTCCACCCGCTTGGTGGCCAAATAGCGACGCACCTGCCTTTGAATCAGGAGGATAGCTGCCACGTACTCGAGGTTATTGCATTTATCCTTAGTGCGACCTACTTTCCGCTCGCTGAGATATCGGCGAAAATGTCTTTGGATGATGACGACCGATTGTATATAGGTAATTCTGCTGGAAAATGCTCTCTGATCGGCCTCGGCCAATTTGTTGTCTGTATATACGGATGCCGTGTTTACCACATCCTTTTTATTCGCACTCAGTACTCGACCACACTCACAGGTTACTTTCGATGCAGAAGTTACGTTTTCTTTGTCCTTCAATGACTTTTCGTAGGACGAGTACTTGCTGTACTCAATTCGATCCGACTTTTCCTTGGACATTCGCTGAAAGTACTCCTGTGCGAATATGTATATATTATCCGGTTTCTCTCTAAGAACTGCTTTTATGAATTGCTTGATGAGGTCGGTGAGTTTCTCTGGTATTAAATTAAACACCATGGATAGGGGCACCTGCTGACGTATGCGGTTTTTCATGATGGTTTCGTAAGTTTGCACCGGTTCGTATTTTCGCACCGATTGATGCGATTTTTCACCAACAATCATGTTGAAAAAGCTGGCCGAAAAGCCATACAAGTCAGCCGGCTTTTCACGTAACACCTCCTTGGTATAGACCTTCATCAGGTCCCGCAGTCCCTCGGGAACCCTTGGTAAACTCGCCGTCGTCATTTCAGTAACTCAAGCACCATGCATGGGAAAATGTTGAATCAATACTGACCAGCGAAGGTGTCCTAATGTCAATGGAAACCTCGGTAGCTTGCAGTTGCCATGTCAACACCTTGGGTGCCAAAACATATCCCCAGCTGACGTCGCTCCAACTTGTTGATCCCACAACGAATTATAACAATAAGTATATTCTTGGATTCTATATATATACATCTGACCTGTAATGACCCTTAATAACTGGAGGGTGACGCGGGTTCCGAGAATTACCAATATATATTATTTAGATGTTATTACCCGAACCCAAAATAGTTTATAATTATAAATACAGTATGTATTTGAATCCATGAGGAGTGTTTCTACATTTTTCAGTTGAACTAAAATGTCAAAAGTAACAGATATTTTCGATTCAACTGAAAAGCGCAAAAACGCCCCTTATAAGCAATTTATTTTCCCCCTTTAATTGAGATCCTCTGGTGATTCTACAATTCTGCAAATTATGGGAACGTCTTCAATGTGCGTGTAGTCATTATCGGAGGGCTTCAAGGTCTCGGAAATGAGGTCGCTTTTGAATTTCTTCCAGTCAGAAGCCTTGCGATAGTGGGCAAAAAGCGCTTCTCTGGATGGAATCATGACATCCACGTACAGCAGTCTGCGCTCCCAGACGTTGCCGGGATTTTGTTTCTTCTCCAGCAGGAAAAATCTGGGCAGTATCAGGCATTGAACCGTACTCCTTGCCATTATCACGCGATTTTCCATTTTCTCGCCCAAGCCGAAAATTCCGCCAAAAGTTATGGTGCCAACATCAATGAAATGGCTTTCAAATGTGGGTGTCTGCAAGGAGAAAATCCGAATGGTGAAATAAATGCAAAATAAATTGAAGGCAGCTTATTTTTAGGGAGCACTTTTGAAGTACGTAATATTCCTGGGCACTTACGGAGGAATCAACACTGCTCGAGGATAAACTAGATAGGGACGAGGATAAAACATAGCTTTCATCGTGATCACTTCCCGCAAAACCATTTAATACAGGACCGAAGCGGAAGGATTGCCTAAACTCCATGTCCATGTAACCTGAGTCCGATGAATATGATTCGCTATCACTTTCATTCACACACATTTCCCAAACATCCTCATATATATCTTCACTGATAAACTTATTTTCACTGCGAGAAAACATAGACATCGTTGACTTTCGAATCGAGCGGCGCCAAGTGAAGCGCGGTTTTGGTGGCGGTGATTTGATCATACCACACCGTTTTTGTATATCTCTCAAATCCATTTTTCGCATCTGTATATTAGTTTAATGAATATTTAATTAACATAAAAAACAAACTACAAATCAAGCAATAACACAGGGTGTTTAAGCCTATTTCTAAGGAATTTAAGTTGCTTATATTTTAAAATGAGCCTACCTTGCGGTTTAGAGCACTCTTTTGCGCATCTTCACTGGAAGTGGAACTCGAACTTGCCACAAGGTCCAGAATATCCATTTTTGACTGATCCTCGTTGTTACTTGGCGTGGAAAATGTGGATCTGACGGCTTTTTTGAACATTTTCGACACATCACCTTCAGTCGCCGGCAAAAGTTCATATACCTTCTTCCCCCTTTTCAGAGAAACCTAGAATCAGAATGAGGAGTTCACGTAGAAATCAAAGGTTTTCACATCTGCTGACCCTTATATTCAGACACTGGAGTATCAGACATTCGCCACTGAGCACGAAGTGGACATTGGTCATGGATCCTATATCCTCACAGAATATGGTATCCAGTGGGTCGAATTGCTTCAGCCGCCCATATCGACAAGCTTCCACGATCTACACCGTATTTACAGAAATTATTGCAAAAGATTTTCTTTAGTAGGGAGGTTTTGTTATTAGGTTATGAATATTTTTGAATGAATGAATATTGTTAAGGAATGAATCTAGCTCAAGATATTTTTTGATACTTATAGATATGCATATTTTGGACTTAATATTGAATGAAATGGTTTGTAATGATGCAGTGTGGAAACCCTTTGCTCGTTTACCTGATCGTCATCGAGGAAATCAAAGTAGTCCAGCGCCTTGAGGGCCCGCTTCTTCTCGTCCCAAATCTTGGTCATGTAGGCCCCAAGAATCGGTGCAAAATCATAGTCGAACAGGACGAGTAGTTCGCAGTAGGCTGCAAAGTGAAGCGTTCAATAGTTGCTGGCGAACTGGCAAATTGGCGACTCCCATTGAATCGGGGCACATGGAATCCATGGAGCTGGGGCCAAGTACTGCTGGTGCTGGTGCTTCTGGTGGCGTGCATCTGTTTTTTATTTTTTTTTTTGTTTTTTTTGAAGATTGCCAGCACGAGGAGTAACAGGCACAACAGCCCAAAAATCAAGCCAAGCCCATGCGCCAAAGGAAGGCGGGTGTTGTTTTGGGCCAACCTATATATTTGACTGAATAGTTTATACTACTGAATAGCTGGCGGATTCGTGACGGACGCGGGCGGGGGGTATTTTGTTATTCATTTTGATTGAATCGAATTAGGACTTAACGTTGTTTATTGCTGATTAAATTGGTGGGTACAGGCAATCGCAAATGAAGCAACAAAACCAAACAAACTCCCAATAAACACAATCGTACAAATCGCGTGCTGGCCCTATGTATTTCCCATTTATTCCGACATGAGCCGCAAATGCTGCAGTTTACCTAATTCACCTTCTTATCATCCTTAAGTGTGATTTAATTGGGGGAGATAAAGAGTTTTAGCTTTGGGGTTATATTGCTGCTCAGCTCTCAGAGTGAAGAAAATAAATAATATGTATAAAATATGAATAATATTCCATAAGACCCTAATAACTTACTTGCTGCTCTGAAGGTGTGAGTTCGTTTGATGCCTTCCAAGAGCTCCACATCACCCATCATATCTCCAGCACCCAGAAAGCCCACGACCACTCCTTCGCCCTTCTATGAAATGAAAAGTTAGGATCATGGATTGCGTTCTTAAGCCATTACCTGGTCCTTTTCGTTCTTAATCATATGTACTTGCCCAGTAAGTACAAAAAACACGGTTATGGGAGCATCCGATTGTCTTATGATAATGCGACCAGCATCGACGGGCATCAAACGGACCACAGGAACTAATCGAGCTCGAATTTTCTAAAGAAACATTAGTCAATTGTTAGCGTCCTCATTTAAAAATGGTACTAACTGGACTGAAGCCTGCCAAACATGTCAACTTAGCAAACAGTTTACATAATTTCATTCTTTCCGGAATTGTTCGAATCACGTGCGGTGTTCGAATCAAAGATTTGTCCTGTCATGAAGTTAGCAATTATTTGGTTGTTTTATATTTTTAGTAAGTGTGTTATACCGCTGCCGTTAGGAACCCTGTTTTAGACTTTGTCCGCACTCTAGTGGGTAAATTCCTCATGACGTTTGAAGACATCCTTGGGTCATCTTCGTTTTCCTTCCACGGATCATTTAGGCTCATTATGCGAACCACTTTTTTGAACAATGCCTTGAGTGATTGCATTCTTTTCGCATCAGCTGTGTTCTTTGTACGCCGTTGCATTTTTACTTTGAAACGAAAAAATAACAAAATGTATAAAAAAAATAAATAGGAACAAAAGATGTGTTTTAGTTCTTTTTTTGTAACATAATAAATGAAATTAAATTTGAAATACCCAGTATCGGGCTCTAAGACTGTTTATCAAGTGATTTTAAATATTTTAAATGACCGTTAAAAATTTCCCTAAGCCGCTTCACCCAAGATGCCACATTCAAACGCGCGCCACAAAGGGGAAATTTGGAAACAGCTGGCCCGTTGCCGCTTCCCTTTGAATGGCAAACGGGAAATTTCAGTTCGGTTGCCGTGGAGATCGCGAATAAAAAAAGGCTGTTTTAAATTAGAAGCTTGTATTAGCATTTGCAAATAGCACTCCCAGTCGTGGAATGGATGCCAGTGTGGAGGAGAATGCTCCTAATCACAAGGAGGTCGTTGGCAAAGTGAGTTCTACTACTGGTGCCTCTCCCATTGATGAGCAACCGAAAACTTTCTCTTTTTTCTGTAGTTGGCCAAAACGGAGGAGTCCGAAAAGCCATCGAACAGCATTGGACTGCTGCCCATTATGATATTTCTGGCGGCGACGGTGACCACGGCCGTGGTGGTGGAACTGCTGCCCCATGCCAGCAGCGTTTTGCCCTGGAAGTCGGCAGATTCTGCAGAGGATCAGCTGCAGCCACCGCCCACATATGCGATCTTCGGGCGCAGTCCCACGGAGGAGCACCTGGTGCATGTGGTTGGTGTGCTGCACAAGTTCGGTTACCGAAGAGTGGGCGTCAATGAGAGCTGGAATCTCCTGTGGGCCCACGATTATCCATTTCTCTCCATTGCCAATCTAAAGAATCTCGGCCAGCATCAGGTGGTGAACCACTTGCCTGGCTGCGGTTATCTAACCAACAAGGTGGACCTGTGCACCACCCAGTTGCCTTTTCTGCCACGCGCCTTTCGCTTGCCAGCGGAACGGGAGGAGTTCCTGGACTACGCCAGGGAGAATCCCCAGGCACTGTTCGTCCAGAAGCACAACGAGCATCGGCACATTAAGGTGCGAGCGCCAGCTGACATTGCCTTCGGATCGAATGACTCCTTTGTCCAGGAATTCGTGCAGCGACCCTACCTGGTGGATGGCCACAAGTTCGACATCGGCGTCTATGTCGTCATCACCTCGGTGAATCCCTTGCGAGTGTACATCTACACGGGTGATGTTCTGTTTCGCTACTGCCCGGTGAAATACCATCCCTTCGATGCCGAGAACGTGGACAAGTACATTGTGGGGGATGACTATTTACCCACCTGGGAGGTTCCATCGCTGCGCAAGTACTACAATCGCTTTGGCGGCAGCATGCGCACCGTTTTCGAAGCCTATGTCCGAGATCAGGGCAAGAACCCCGCCAAGATTTGGCCTCAAGTGGAGCACATAGTACGCACCACGATCGCGGCCAAGGAGAAGGATATCGTTAGCATACTGCGATCCTACCGGACCCACAACTTTTTCGATCTGATGCGGTTCGATCTGTTTA